GCAGAGCATGAGCCCCTGAGGTAGACTACAAAGGCAGGCGTCTCCTTCCTCCTGGCTTCACGGCATCCCATTTACGAACAGACAACATATATTCCGCCACATTTTCTCCCAGCAGGCAAATGCGTTGTGTAATGGAAATGGACTGGCACCACATTAATTGTGAATTCTGTTCAAATACACTTGAACTTGTGGCTATGTCTTTAGCTCTGGAGATATAAAACAATGCTCCACCACTAATCACCCCTATTTTATAAATTGGTATTTTTATAATCAGTGTCATTTGGATACACTTATCTGTGTATATATTTTAACTATTACCCCAACCCATGTATCCAAAGAGGAAATTAAAAAATATTGTCATTCTCTGATAAAAAGGAACTGTGGCTTATTTTTTTTTCAAATCCATTGGGATATGTTTCCTTGCCAATAAATTAGTTTACTTTCAAATCACATTTGCTATATTCTGATTTTAAAAAATTATATATATATATTTTTATTTAGTTGTTGTTGGACACAATACCTTTATTTTATTTTATTTTTATGTGGTGCTGAGGATCAAACCCAGTGCCTCACAGGTGCTAGGTGAGTACTGTACTGCTGAGCCACAACCCCAGCCCCTATATTCTGATTTTGTAAGTGGAATTATCCTAAAGTTCCTTTGTTGTCTTGTAAAAATCACATTTTTAGGTAAAAACCAAGATGGCAACAATGCAAGTTAAATTTCAGTATTCTTTGTAGGTAAATGACTCATTCTTGATAACTTTAATTATATGGGTTCCTTTATGTAGAAATAAGTGATGCATATGTAATAATCATGGTTAAGTGCATTAGGGAATGAATAATTTTCAACTGGGGGCTTCTGGCAACCAGTGATATAGCACCAGAGCAGGGCTGTCAGAGAGGAGGAGTTCAATAAATGGTTGTTACATGAATCTTTAGTAAGTTATGCAATATTTAGCATGCCTGAGAGTGTGGAACATTTCAAAATGCAAAAATCAATGCAATTTGTTAAATTTGGAGATTGTTAGTCCTTTCACATATAAGCTTATTTTTCTTTTCTCATTTATATAGTACTAAGATCAGTTCTAAGCCATTAAAGTTTTTCTTCAAGAAGAAAACAATACAGAAGAAGAGAAATTAGAAATTTCCCGTACACATTTGGAAAACTCTGAATGTTCCAAAGTTCTGAAAGTTTCTAATTTCAAATATAGAATATAGTTTGGTGAGTGGCACTGATTTAATCTATGTGTCTTGTTTTTTAATACTGAAACTTCTAAGAAGGTCCCAAACAAAAACATTCCAAAGCTCTGAATTTTAGACCAAGGCATAAGTTTAGGCAAAATAATTAAGAAAAATGCAAAAAGAGGGTGGGTAGATTTTTTAAAACTATTTTAATACAAGATTAATAGCAATTTTCTATCCAAATCAGAAATGAAAAATCTTAACCCAAATAATAATCATTCGACAGTCACATAAAATTTTAGGTTTGATTGGTGCACACATTTATCCTGCACATATATTCTGTATATGCACACAGAGACCTTAGTACTATGCTGTCCTTGGGTGTTCTCTCATGGAAGTAGCTCTTCACAAGGCAATGTCAAAGATTCCGGTAACTACTCAACTTTGAATGACGCTCCAAATGTTCCCATGCCAAGCTGAGTCTGTGCCGTAGCAAACCATGATATAGCAAGTCTCTAGAATGCGTACAAATCAATACACTATTTGTATTAAGTTGGCCTAAGACTAAACACTGGCTAATGTCTCCACCGAGGAGGAACACATTACAAATTTATAAATTATAGTCTCCTTTACTCCTCTTCTGTTGGCAAAGCTAAACTGCTTTTTTCTTTTTAATTAAAATCAGATCTGTTCGTGACTGTAAGTTAATGAAAATGAGTTTGAATTTCTTCAAGTTTTGGATACGTCAAAACTTGCTTTTTTGAACATTTCTACCTTTAATCAAACCGCCTGATAATTAGCCTTGCAAGGAAGTAATAAAAGAATCACAACTCAAGAATTTGCTGTTTTACTCCTCCTCCTCGGGGACTTTAGTTGGTGACTTTAGTTGGTGTTTGGTCCATAGCCAAAACATGTATGTAATGGCAAAAGAATGACAGTAGGCTAATGTCTGCAGCAGGAGATGTAAATTAAATATGAGGGTTCTGCATCCAATAGTATTTCCAATGTAATTTAACAAATGTTACTTTTTGAATTATTACTGCTTATTGATGAGTAATAGTGTTTCTTAGTGTAGACAAAACAGGATTTTCTATCCCTTACATTGGAAGCACATGATGTGAGTAACTTATCCATTTGGGTAAATCACTATAAGGGAGTCAGATTTCTAGTGCTAATAGTCTGTGATGGCTATAATCAAAGTGCCAGCTTGACCTTCATTAAAATGACAGGAGACTGTCACGCTGCCCTTCAATACAGAACCACAAGCAGATCTCTCATAGGCAAATTTGCAATTCATTCTTCTCTGCTAAAGACTTTAGCCTCCATTTAGCTTTTGTTGTAACATATACAAAGTATAATATACATCAGTTACAGACGTGTATTTCTGTTAGAAAAATACATATTATAACTAAAGAACATGTAAATAGAGGCACTTCAATAAGCTAAGTGTTTGCAGTTATGAGCATCACCCACCAATTTCTAGGGTCCGATTGCAGTGAGCTTATTCCTCTCTACTCATAACAGAAGTTATGATGTGATTACAGAATTGAGGGGACATCAGAACAAAGGAAGGCAGGCCATGAAAGATAATGGAGCATCACTGCATCCCCTATCACTGTGCTAAAACAAGAAAAATTAATTTAGGAGGGGGAATTTCAAAATACTTACTGAACAGGGATACCTAGATGAAACTAGATTCCTTAGGGACTGAAGAAAATTCTCATGGTCAATTATTCTGAAAAGCATATGACATAGTAGCATGATGATCAAAACCAGGAAGTGTAGTTCTGTCACATTTTAACCACATTCATACAGGGTGACTAATATTGTGGCATTATTAACTGAGAGTCATTTCAGCTCTCTGCCTGGCTCATATGCATCACTGTATCTCATCCATAGGAATAATATTGATAATGAAGGTGTTGAAACAAATGAAGCAGGCATTTATATATTTATCTGTGTGGTTAGTGCGTATAGAACATAGGTTCACATTCATTCATATAACGTGTATTCAAACACATGCACAAAACTGGTTGGGCGAGAAGCACAGGGAAAAAAACAAAGCATCTTGATTTATTTTATAGAAGCGAATGCAGAAATGTTTTTAGAAAAAGAGTTGGAGTTTAAAGCCATAAAAATAAGTTATTACTCAAATATTCTGGAAAAATCAAGGTTGATTGAATTTGTGTTGCACCTTAATTATTGGAGAAAACCAGTTCTGATTTCTGAACACACAATGAAATGAGCAACATACACAATTGGTCCTTCTCAGAGATGTGTAATGTGTAACTGGTGATAGGAAGCTGAAGGTTGGCAGTGAAATGGATGGATTTCTAGAAGTGTATAATGCTGAATTAGACTTGGCGCTAATTTCATCGAGATTTAAAGGAAAGATACCACAAAGTCTCTCTGATTCCTACATTTCATATTTCGTTAGTGGCAATAGAAGCTTGGAAATACTTTCTGTTTTGCAAAAGTGCTCAAATATACTTAATACCGTTGTGCCGCATGTGTTCTACTTAAACGTGATGACTAAATCAATAACTAATTTTAAGTTTGATGAGAACAGAGATCGAAAAATACCGTTGACGTGTCAATACTGTCAATGAGTTAGTTAAAATGCGACTGGCATACTACGGGGTCCTGATATATTACTTTTCCTAACTCTGGATGCATTGTAAAAAATCAAGAAACACATGGACAGCCAAGTGTACTCAGAAAGCCCCAGTTTGGTTTGTTTTGCTTCTCTCTGCCAGGAGGAGCATGGGGCCTGGCTTTGGCTTACTTGGCAGACAGGGCAAGCTGAGACTCTAAACCGGTCTCCTGAGCGTAGGTCATTTATCCAAGTGCCAAGCAGGAATCTGAGGCCGAAGGTGTTGCACATGAAAGCAATGTTTTTTTTTTTTTGTTTGTTTGTTTTGCTTTTTTTTTTTTTTCCTTTTTTCGTGAATAACATTCTTTACACATACAGTTTCCCTTACCAGCAAAGTCCTGCACACCCATGGCTTGTCCCATGAGCTCAGGACAGGTCTGGAGCAATGGGGACAAAGCAGGCTCACGCAGAAAGGATGTGCCCTGGCAAACTTTTAAGAGATGGACAGTTAGATACGTAAAAAGTTCTCTTCCTTGATTCTTGGTGCTCACAGGTCATTGAGGGATCCCTTCTCTGAGCAGCACAAAACAGGAAGAGCTGGTTGACAAAACATTTTTTTTTTTTTTACAAAGGTGTGTCAACCCTGAGCTTGGAATTAAGAAGTTAAAATCTGTGATTTATATATATATAGATATAAAAATAGATGATCATACTAAGACTAAAAAAGTGAAAGAAATCTCCATGTCCATACTATATATATAGTTTCTTTTTTTTTTTTGTCTTGAAATTTTTTGTTGTTGTGAGTTATTTTGTAGGAGAATGCCCTTGTGATGCAGAAACCAATCGACACAAAGCAAATAGTCAAACAGGAAAACTTATCTATGGATCTAACTGTTTATCAACTCGGTAAAACAAAAACCAAAAAACCCCAACAAACTCCTATTTTAGGAGGGTAATGAACACAGGGCAGAAACATCTAAATTCATGTCAAACCTGTGGCAAAAGCAGAGATTGTATCACTGAAGACGATATTCAATTGGGATGTTGGACGGGGGGATGATTTGATGGGGGTGTACACTAGTAACTGAAGATGAAGAAGAAATCTGTGCCAATTGGATACAATGGACAGACATTAAGACAATTAAGGAAAATGGAGCCATTATTGACATTGACGTTGGGCAGGTTGAGAGAGAGGTGCTGAGTTGGAGTAAGTTTTGCTCTCATATTAAAGATGGAATTCTAAATTGATTATCAGTACCTCCAAATCAATTTGGTATTTGTGGTTAGAGTGCAAGATGGCACCTCCAAGACAACAGTGTAATTTTACTACATTTTAAAACAATTTCAAGCTTTCTTCCCATAAGCATTTTGTAAACCTGAATTGTCACAGAAAAGCTTACCCTGGGAGTTGGCTGTCAATGCAGAACCTAGAGCATTGCAGTTCCTTTATTTTGCTCTTTTGTTGCTTCTTTGTTGAAAATGCAGTTGTCTTGGGGTTTGGCCTGATTTTAAAAGGAAAATTATTTTCTTCCTACCTTTTAATTTTTTAAATGGGGAGGGGGGAGAAAAAACTCACAACGTGAGACTTCTTTACTTCTGCAGCATAAAAGCAAATGAAGGTAAGAAAATCTCCTGGTACGAAAGATTGGAGTAAGAATTCTCTCTGGAATAAACAAAGTCCCCACAGATAGCTGAAAAGAGGAAGCGGTTCATCTGGCACCCGGTACTCTTTGGGAAAACAAAAAGGGAGGCAGATCTCAGTACTGCTCTCTTCTCATAGAAAACGGTAAGTTTTTGTGGTATAGTCCATTGTCCAAGAGTGTAAGAAAGGAAGGGAGTTGGCCACTCAGATAGCTAAAATGCAGTTTCGTCTGACCAAAACCCAGGATTATCTGCACAGTCTCTGCAGTGCCAACACCATGCAGACCAGGGACCATGAGAGCAGGGAGTGGCCAAGCCCGGCAGCAGAAGAGTCCTCTTCTCTCCTGTCGGGGTCAACTGCAGGGGCCTCCGTGGTGACAAACTCAAACTCTGTAGGACACACATCATCCATGCACCCACTGCCACTCCCTGAGCCGCTGGATTCATCACCTGGTGTGGAAAGATTGAAAAAGAAAGTTAGGCCACACTCCAGGAAGAAATGGAGGCAAAGAACACAGCAGATCCAGGCACGGTAGGCAGGAACTGTCCCACCCAAGGGTCCCCCATGGTGCAGGTGGGCGGGCAGCTTTATGATGGACGGGTGGACTGTATGCAAGTAGGTGGCTGAAACACAACATTAATTGATATCCCGAGTTATAAGTCATCTCTACCCTGTTTGGCATCAGAAAGATATTTCTTTCTCTGGCCAATATTTAAATTACATTAAGAAATTTCACTCTGTGCTCTGAGCTGGTGTTCTCAGCAGATACCATGCCTTTAAAGGAATTTTGAAAAGGACACTTTTTTTGTTTTATTTTTGATATGGGGAATTGAACCCAGGGGCACTTAACACTGAGCCACATCCTCAGCCATTTTTTTTTTTTTTTTTTTTGTGGGAGGCAGATGGGTGTACCAGAGATTGAACTGAGGGACACTGGATCACTGAGTCACATCCACAGCCCGATTTCATATTTTATTTAAAGACAGGGTCTCACTGAGTTGCTTAGCACCTCACTTTTGCCGAGGCTGGTTTTAAACTCATGATCCTCCGGCCTCAGCCTCTGGAGCCAATGGGATTACAGGTGTGCGCGACTGCACCCAGCCCCGCCACCCCTTTTTATATTTTATTAGAGATAGGGTCTTAGGGCCTTGTGAAGTTGCTGAGGCTGGCTTTGAACTTGTGATCCTCCTGCTTCAGCCACCTGAGAATTTTAAAGGAAAGCACAGAGAAGGAAAACAACCATGTGAGTAGGAAACCGGAGGAGCCACAGTGAAGGGCTGTGGAAGGGAAACCTTATGGTTGCTTTTAGCTATTTTTCCCCATTCATGTTCTCCTCCAAGGGCAAGGATGGGCCCTTTCTTACCCAGCACCTCGCTCTACACCAGGGCTTGACCAGCTACGACCTGTTGCCTGTTTCTCTAGGGTCCATCACCTAAGAGCAGTTTTTATAATCTTAAGAGCTTGGGAAAAAAAGCCAGGAGTAATGTTTTGTGACATGTAAGAAGGCTCCATGTGAAATTCAGACTTCAGTGTCCGTTTGTGAAGTCGGATGGGACCGCGGCCTCACATCTGGGTTATCTCCAGTTGGCACTGTCATAGGGCAAAGTCGAGTAGTTGTGACAGCACTGGATAGATCTCAAAGTTGTCACAGCATATCTACTACCTGGTCCTTGACGGAGAAAGTTTGGCGTTCCCTGCTTGAAACCAGGGCTCAGGTGCCCACATGACCTGTTGTCCCTGGGGGGCGCCTTCCCCTCTGCCCTCCATGCCTCTAGGCCTGCTCTATTCCCAGGCCTGACTTCTTGGTTCCTTCTTTATGATAAACCTTGTCTCTCAGATATGGCCCCAGACCGGGTTCCATCGGTCACAGCCAGTTCTCTGTATCAGGGTTCTGAATCTCTGTTGTCAACCAACTGCGGATCAAGAATAATTCCAGAAAGTCCTGAAAAGCAGAACTTGGAGATGATGAATGACCTCATATAGGAATTACAAGGGAGCTGCCTCCCTCCCTTCTGCCCTCCTGCCACGCGTGGCCAGAGGTCATTCTCTGGAGGGCACAGTAACAAGGTGCCATCTGGGAAGCAGAGACGGGACTTGCCCTGGACTCCAAACCCTGGCCCTTGACCTGAGATTTCCCAGCCTGCAGAACTGTGAGAAATAAATTTCCTTGGCTTTTAAATTTTTTTTTAAAAAGAGCAAAACTTGAATTTGCTGCATACTGAGTTGAATCCACATAAATGGAATGAAGTGTCAGAAGTTCCTGATGGGGGCCCCTGCCATTTCAGACCCTCAGTCTCTCCCAGCACTGGGCACTCTGTGGTTAGTCCTATGATGGTTGTGTTGTACTGAGCATGTACAGGCATTTTTTTCTTGTCACAATTCCCTAAACAATACAGTATAATAACGGTTTCCATAGCACTTACATTGTATAGGTGTTAGAGGTGATTTAGAGGTGATTTAAAGCATATAGGAGGTTACATGCAAATACTAAGCCATTTTATATAGGAGACTGGAGCATCTGTGGATTTTGGTGTCAGGGGAGGGGGGCTGAAACCAATCTCCCACTACTGTGTCAGCTTTGTGAAGGTACTTTATCTCTACCTGGGATTGTATTATTTATTTGTCTGTTCTATCGTTTACTGTTGATTTCCTCTTGAGAATGTGTAGAATGTAGATATTGTTCACTCCTGAATTTTCATGGCTCCTGGCATATAGCAGGTGGTTGGTAAATACTTGTTGAATAAGGAAATGTGCCTCTAGCACTTGACTCAGTTTCCTTATCTTAACCCACGTGGGTGATAGCAGGTGCCTTGCAGAGTGTATGTGAAGACGACTCTGTACAGTACAACAGACCACCCAGCCCACCACTGTCAGTGACACCTGATAGAAAAACTATAGTTCCTACAGCAAAATTTAAGATGTCATTACTAATTTAAATGGAGTAGGGCAAGCTGAATAACTTTGCTGAGGCTACATTTTCTCACCTGTAAAAAAATAAAATTAATAATGTCTATTTTACAAAATCATCATGAGGAATAAGTGAGAAAACATTCTCGGAAGGCATTCAGGAAACTAAGCTTTGTTTGTTGTTCCTCCTTAGTCAATGATCTAAGCTCCTCCCTGTTGGTCTGAGATGCTGATGGGCCTTGAGCTGGGATTGGTGCCATCTTGGCTACTGATGCTACTTAAGTGAAGCCATGGTAGTAGAGGGGACTCTTCTAATGGGCCCTAGCGTGAGAAAGACAAAACTCAGCACTGTGTTATTGCTTTTCAAGTGGGACATCTAAATATCAGATAAGATCACTTGAATACATATACGATGTTCGTAACATTTTTCTCTGCTTTTTCTTTAATGGACTTTAAAAAGGGGCGGATGATATCCATTAATTAAATTCAGAGACACCAGAATTGTGAAGGGACTTGTTCTCAACGTAGGTATCATGAACAAGAAGTAATATAACCTTTACAAAGATATTATTAGAGTGACGTGGAATATTAAAAATGTGACAAGCAAATAATGACAAGAGGTTCCAGTTGGGAAAAATAATGGCCCCATCTCTTTCTGAAAAGGAATAACAAACATGGCATTAGGACAAGGGATGGGCAACTTAAAAAATGTCACAAGCAATATGGGTGATGATGGCTGTGAGATGTGAAAGGTTTTATATCACAGGCAGTATTCTAAAAGAGAGGCCAAATTTGGTGCTTGGGTTAGAGCTGAGGGATGCTCTTAACTGCTGTTGATTTTTATCTTCTTTTGAAAGGAGATGGAGCAAAGTCCCTGCCTCCTGGACATTTCCTGAGCTTTGCAGATTGACATGCACGTAACCTCTTTAAGTTCTCTCTCCTCTGTAAGGAGAGAGAAGCAATAAGGTCAACATTGGCTAATTCTTATGAATCTTGAATTATTCATTCCAACTGTTACTCTGCAGGTAAGAAAGCATTTTATTACATGGAGGAGACAGAATGGATAAAATGAGGAAAGTGTGGCTAAGTAATGAGCAAGGCAGAAGCAACAAAGCCTAAAACTGGGTCTAACATTCTCTTCTGAAGAGGAAGGGAAAGGTTTAGTTAAGAACAGAGAGGATAATGGGATGATTCTAGAAACTTCTACAGCAATGATGTCCATCAGATGATAATTATCCTGGGCTTCGAAAATTATTTTTGACTTCTTTAAAATGGAATAATGCACTTAAAATTTTCTTCAGGGGATGGCTCGGTAGGATGGTGGCAAAGACTTAGGTGACTTAATGTCTTCCATCTGTAACTTGCTTTTTTCTGTCTCATTAATTCAAGCACACAGGCATTGTCTTTTGCTTCAGTGACCAAATTACAGAATCACTGGCAACTTCACATCTTAGCTCCAGGATTCTTTTCCCAGGAACTCTCTTTGTAAGGGTTCACACTTAAGAGGAAACCAACACAACAAAAAAACCCAAAAAGCCAAAGAAAATATTTGCCTTTGTAGTGCTGCCTTTTGAATCCACTTAGACAAAACACAAATATGGTTAGTTTCATGTTCATGTTCACTTGCTAGTCCTTCAAATCACTTCTAATGCTTTTGTGATCCTTAATAAAATAGTCATGTATAATATTGTACCAGCATTTTTTTTTGATTCCTCTCAGTATTTCAGATGCCAGCACCTGTGGTTTGTGTGTATGTGCACAATCCGAAAGACGGGAAATTAATGCAGTTGAACTCCCTCACTACCCACCAGGCACTGTCTTAGCTCCTTATAAATCACCTTGAGGGAGCTTCCCAACAGCTTCTTAGGCAGAGGTGCTTCCCATTCGATAGAAGGGGAATCCTAAGACTCGAGGTACAGCTGCTTCTCAGCTTAGGATGAAGTCACGTCCCCATAAACCCATTATTGAGTTGAAAATATTCGTAAGTCAGAAATGCACTGAGCACACGTAACCTGCCTGACGTGCTAACTGAACAGCAAGCAATTCTACAGGGTCAGCTGTTTCCCTTCGTGACCTGGCTGACCGGGAGCTGCAGCTTGCTGTCTCTGCCCAGCGTGGTGAGAACATCGTACTGCATAGTGCTAATCTGGAAAAAGATCCAAATGCAAAATTTGAAGGACAGTTTCAACGTGAACGTGTATGGCTTTCACACCACAATAAACTCAAAGAATCATAAGTAGAACTGTCGTATGTCAGGACCATCTGTCTGCGTTCAGGATGCCAGTTTACGAGTGGTAAGACTGGGGGTGGGAGTTTGGGGCAGCTGTAAATGAAGATGTAGAGAGGAGAAAGTAAGAACATGACTTCGCTATTTTATCACAAATGGATCAACTGGTAGATGAAACTCAGAAACTCGGTTTTCCCTTTGGAATGGCTGCATGTGCCTACTGAAACTATTAAGGTCAGTTGTGATTTTTTGTATCATCCCAAGTTTTGAGGATTGGACAGCCTGAGGGGAAGAAGGAGACATCATTATATGTGCACATTGTTCTTAAAGAAAAATGATGGTGTCATCTGCTATGACTGTTTTTCACTCTGGAAGTGGCTGGTTCTGGAAAAGATTTCCTTACTGGTGTCCTGGAAGTTGACGTCATTGCCATTGTAGGCATTCTTCAATTTGTTGGTCATCACACGCAGAGCCATGATCTGCTGTCTGATGAAGGTGTCTGGCCGTGTGATGTCCACATCCACCTCAGGGTTATTGATCTGGTTGGTCAACCCGTCATTCATGATCTCAGGCAAGTATCTGCAAAGCAGAGAGGGAGAAACAAATTGGGGTGAGGCAGCAGGGACTCAGAACTGGACTCTGCCATGCTGTCTTGAACAGCCAAACCACCTAGAACTGGACTTAATTCCTGGAAAAAAATTTGCCTAAAAGCAAAAATGATTTTTTACAGAAGGTGATGTAGTTAAAATGGCTTTTGACTTTTTTTTTGTTGTTGTTTGTTTCTTGCAATTTTAAAATTATATATATATATTAAATTATATAAACTATATTATATAGTTATATATATTGATAGGATTTGTTGTTATATATTTGTTGATGCACACAATATAATAATATAATATGGCCACAATCACTCCCCCAGCACTGTCACCTGCTGCCCCACCTCCCACCACTTGATCCCTTTCCTCTATTGATCTCCCTCTGATTTTCATGAGATCTTCTACCACCTTCCCCACATCCCCTTTTTCCTCTCTAACTTCTTCAAATGACAGAAAACATCTAACCCTTAACTTTCTGAGTTGGACTTATTTCACTTTATATGATGGGTCTCTAGTTCCACCCGTTTTCCTGTAAATGACATAATTTCAATTTTCTTTATGGCTAAATAAAACACCATTGTGTATATATGCCACATTTTCTTTATTCACTTATCTGTTGATGGACACCCGGTCTGGTTTCAAAGTTTGTGAACTGTGCTACTATCAACATGGGTATGCCTGTATCACTGTATATGAGGACTTTAATTCTTTAGTACAAATACTGAGGAGTGGAATAGGTGAGCCATATGATGTTTTTTTCAAGTGGCAGTGAATTCCTAGGTAGGTTGGCCGACAAATAAGTACTAAATCCAGTCTTAGAGATATCATTTCTTAAAATTAACTAAATCTCTTTCTCCCCATACAAAAAAAGTTGCTGAGAGCTCAGTCAAGGACTTGATAGCTTCCTCATTTGTTAATTTTGATTATAAGAACTAGATTTACACATGACACATGAGCTGGGAGAGTTCTCTTGTAGGAAGAGGCCTTACCCCAAAGAAGGGGCCCTTACCTCAGATTTTAATCTGAAGAACCTTCTGGATATTAAAAAAATAATTGGGGGTGGGTGGGCATTATAGGATTAACCAGTGGCTTCTAGCATATTGGAGGTGTCTATCATGGATTTTATTTTGTAATGAAATCTTGAGTCTAATTTGGGGGATTTCCCAATATCTGGTAAAACAAAAGGGTGGTATCTAATAGTCCTGAGCTCAGTATTTCTTTAACTGGTAACAAAATGTCAAAGTTGTCTGCCCTTCAGGGTCAGCTGCCAAAAGCTGTGGAGGCGTATTTCCGCAGCAGAGGCTGGAGATCTGCTCACGGCCCTCTCTGCCGCCTGACGCTCACCTGCCAATTTTCCAGTCCTCTGACTCTTGTCTAAGGAAGCTTCTCCTACCTGCTTCTTTGTTGCTATTTGCTGTGTCCTCTTTTTGAGTGCAGATGGCTACAGCGGCTTTGCTATGACTTCCTTGCCCCTTTCTTTCTTTCGGGAACATCCTGCATATGCTGTCTGATTCATTTTCCTAAAATACCACTTTTATCCTCTGTTCTGTCTAAAAACTTCTGAGCACAGTGGCTGATGCCCCATGATACACTTACGAAATATCAGGCCCCGCGCTCAGCGTTTTTTAAGGCAGTTTTAAACCCAGTCCAACAGCACACCTAGGAGATTAGCATCATTTCATCTCCTTTTATGAAACAGAAAACCAAGGCTCAGTGAAGATGAGAAAATGTACAGTCTCATCGATGGCGAAACCATGATTTAAATGAAGTCTAGGCCCAAAGCCCACTGCCCAACCACTGCCCCGTCTTGTTTGGCAGATCATAAACGAGGAGTCACACTTTATAGCTCAGCTATCTAAGCCTGTCTCTGTCCAGGTCTGCTTTCTTATGCTGCGATCCTCCCTCCAAGGGATTCTCTTCCTCTTTTAGAATCTGTAGTGGTACCCCCTCCTCCACAGAAAATCTTAACTAAGCTTCTCCAGAATCTTCACCATAATTGATTTTAGGACTATCAGCAAAAGAGTCTCTACAAAAGAGTTCAATGTAGTCAAACTTCCGATTTTTCTGTTGCTGTATTTTACTTGGCCACTGTCTTGGAAGAGATCAGCTCTCCAGGTGCTGAACACCCCTTTTTCTAGTTTTTCACAAACATTTATCCAGTATAGTAGTTTGTAAAAGTGTGTTTGCAAATGCAAAATGTGGTTTAAAAAAAAAAAAAGACAGATCCTTTAACAAGGCCTCTGGCCTTGAGCTGGGCTTCACAGAGAAGTCTACATTTCTAAGGTAAGTTACCAATTGGGCTCCAAGGTAATACCTGGCAGGGGGAGGAAAGAAAGGGGAGAAGAAGCTCTTCCCTTATCAGGTGCTGTCTTTGAAGGATTAACTTTCCCAGAACAATGAAAGAAAAAGCTGCTTTTATGTGATCTTCTGCAGACTGTGAACTTCTGAGCCCCTCCCCTTACTCCCTGGGTATAAAGTTCTGAAGCTACCTCAACTTGGGGTTCAGGGGATTAATTGATTACAGTGAAAGCTGTACCCTCCGAACCTGGCTGTAGTCAAATAAAACTGTTTCCTGATATCTTCGGTGCCCTGCCTCATCTGTCCCCTACAACAAATCTACTCTCTGTATCCATCTTTGCTGGCTCATCCATAATATTGTAAACTACATAGTTGGCCTTCATCCCTGTTTCCTGGCTCATGAATTCTTCCTAACACAGGCCATGGAAACTAGAATTTCTCTTTTCCAAGGCAGGTTGTAGAAGCCCTAATATTCCCTCCATTCCATCTATTCCTTTGGACTGGCCTTAAAGGAATTCTTCAATCTACCTTGTCTTATAGGAGGTTATAAGAGACCCCTAATTTCAGGAAGGTCCTGCCCCATACTCTGGAGGGAGGAATGCTGCACAGGAATGCCGTCAAGAGAAATACTGAAGAGGACAGGCCTTTCTGGGTTCCTCACCAGGCTGTTAGCAACCATGTCTATGCAAGGAAGCCCCCAGAAAAACCTAAAGGGTTCAGAGGGGTCCTGGATAACAGAAGACACAGCGGTTCTGGAGGGCGGCACACCCAGAGAGGGAGAGGGGCTCCATGCCTCTCTCATATGGCAAAATTAATCAAAACTAAGGAGGGAGTTGTGTGAACCCCTATTTAGAGCCAGTCTGTCAGAAGCACAGGTAAACAACCTAAGGACTGAGAGTGGCATCATAAGCAATCTTGGGGGCAGTTTTGGGGATTGAGCCCTCAAAAAGTAGTGTCAGAACTGAATTGGGGCTGGACACAGTGGCATAAACCTATAATCATAGCAGTTTGGGAGGTTGAAGTAGAAGGATCTCAAGTTCATAGCCAGCCTCAGCAACTTAGTGAGGCCCTAAGCAACTTAGTAAGACCCTGTCTCAAAATAAATAAATAAATAAACAAACAAATAAATAAATAAATAATAGGGCTGGGGATGTGGTTCAGTGGTTACCCTCCCTGGGTTCAATCTCTGGTATAAAAAAAAAAAAAGAACTGAATTCGATTAGAGGACACCTACTGGTGTCTGCTCAGAATCCATCACTCACTTGCTATGGGGAGAAATCCCCACAATCTGATGTCAGAAGTCTGTGTTGATCGTGGTATGAGAGCAGAGGAAAAAGCAAGCCTTTTTTTTTTTTTAAACAAACAGTATCCCATGGGGTTTGTTGGTTGGTTGGTTGGTTTTTGTTGTGGTCTGTGATGTACTTTTCCATTTAAATCCCAGGCCGATCCTCACTTTCTCCCAAGATATCTTCAGCTTTCAGGAATCTTCTCACCCTTTTGTACAGTTGCAAAGTTCAATTGGGCCTTCTGTGCATTGCACAACCACTTCTCTGAGCTGAGGGAACAGGTCCGTGCTGAAATCCAGCCTCAGTTCCAAGGTCACAAAGCCACACACCTGCAGGGGACCCGTCACCAAAAGGGGCACATTTTTCCTTTCTTTTTTGATAATGTTTTTATTTTAGAAGATTTCAAAATATACAAAAATAGAGACAATAACATAATAATTCCAGGTGGCTCTGTCCTTCATCCTTTGACAGGGAAACTTTGATACTTAAGCCGTTTTTCAGGTATTGGATCTTGTGCATGACGTACTTGTGTATGAATTGCTTTATCCATTTTAAATCAGAGGTGACCTGAAAAGCTCTATATTTTCATCCATATCTTGAACAAAATTGATTTTACAATGTTCGCTAAATAATGAATAGTAAAACACGCAGAGTGCACTGTAAATTCTTTCCCATGAAGCTTCAGCTATTATTGCCCTAAAAAAATGTCCTAATAGAAATTTTAAAAAGCCATGGACCCATAACTCTTTATTTTTGCTATAAAGCAAAACTTCTGTTGTGGCTTTTAATATAGCTGATATAAATAAAATCTTCTAGGATTCTGAGATGGCCCTTCTGATATAACTTCTAATGTATGACATTGGATCAACAATTATTGACATGCAATTATATGTGCCAGGCTCTAGGAGTTCTATCTATTTATGAAAGTCCATTGGAATAATAGTGGCAAGTGCAGGCCATCTGCTTCAGACACAAGAATTGGGAGGGTTGTAAGGTGATGGTTGATGCTGTTCTTCCTCTACATTCTGGACAATGGTTCCTGCAGCTGTACCTAGGCTGAGTTAGAGACAGTCTTTGTCTCTCTCAGATGCTGTGTGCACAGCTCGGCAAGCCAAGCATCATTTATCAGCAGCTCACTGCAATCCCTTGCATGAAAATGCTGCCCCTGGGAGTCTGAACATCCAAGAACAATAAGAGACTGCCAAGAAAACCTAGTCTCAAACTGTGCCTACTGATGCTCAGCCACTTACCATAAAAACAAGTAACAATGCCCTGGTCCCCTCTAGAACCTTTCTTCCTTTTGGTGTATTCAAAAGGCGACTTTAAAGATAATACAAAACTTTAGCCTACAGTAGTTGAAAAAGAAAATGACCATTTTGCCACACCAGAGCTAGGT